TGCTGTCTGCGCGGTCGATCGGATAGGCTTCCTTCTCGATCACCTACCACTTCAACTGAGCGCCTTTAAACAGATCACTCATGCAAGTCAGCAGTTCAGTTCATGCTGCTGCTTGTGGATGGGTGTATCCTCATCAAAGTTGTGGACTTGCGTGACTATTGTATGATCGACCAACCCTCATTCGATGCGTCAGTGAACAAACACATGGTGGCATCGTCATCTGGATGAGCGAGCTCTACCGTGGACCTTAGGATCTCACGTACAGCTTTCCAGCTGATCTCCTCTTCGGGATTCAACGTAATCAGGATGCTCTGGGCTATCCGTATCTGTCGTTTTTTCCCTGATGAGTGCATCATCCAACCGACGCGTCAGTGGTATACCAACTGCGCATATTCGGGGATGTGATCCCTCATCAAGTTTGTCGCGCAGAGAAATTGCTGCAACAGTCTAGCATTCACTGGGGATGGGATTTGGCCCAGGACCTCCAGTCGATCGGGATCATGACGGATTCCTTTGTCATCAATCAATGATTCTTCCGCACCACTTCACTTTTGTGCTGTAGAGACTGCATTTCAGTGGGTTCGACTTAAGCCCGTGGATTTCTATGAGGTTAAGCAATTTCTCCAACACGTGCAGGTACTCGTCGATACTTTTCGCATACAACAAAATGTCGCCAATCCAGACGAGGAGATGTTTATGCAGCCGTGAGCTGCAAACAATATTCATCGTCTTTTGGAAGTACAACGCACTATCGACATGTCATTGCATGACTCGACTTGGCGTCTACAACACGACTTCGTTTATTTTTCAAAATTTGGCTTGCAGCTTTGAGATGAACTATTAGTACGTCAACACAGGGTTTGATAATCTTGTGAGTATGCCAAACCATGAATAGTCTTCTTCAGACTAGTCGACATTTTCATGCCAAACGTTTCAAATCCTTCCTTGTTGATTGCCCATTGGTCCCAACTTTCAGTTCAGGGTCAATACCGCACAGATTCTTGTGAGCTCTTGGCAAATCTTCTTGCAACCTTTTCATGATAACAGTCGACTTGTCTTCGGTAGCTTCGTGAAGTGTTTTGCGGTCGTCATATGAAATCTTAATCTTTGGAGAATGTTGAGGACTACTTCCTCTGTTCCACAAATCTGGCGACAATTTCGCAACTGAGCGACCCCAAAACTTCATTTTTACTCCAAAAATCATGTGTCATATCACGTTCGACAGAAAATCAAAAGTTAGAGGGGATTCTGCATTGACTGGACAACGTGGAAACATAGTTTTCGCGCCCAAATTTGACTTCGTCAGCTGTCGTCAGTGAAATATATAATAAAATCATTGGTTTATTTTTCAAAATTACGGGACCTCAGCTCCTCAACACCATGGACATTTCGCGCGTCGAATGTGAGCTCTCGTATGAGTTCAAAATGGAGGTCATCACTCGCCTTCTGCGATTCGCTGATAATGGCAAGTTGGCGCGTGGTGTCATCAACTCGATTGCAACGGAAACACGACTTCACCGCTCCACCGTATCCAAGGTATGGCATGCCTTCCACCGAAACACTTGTATGCCCTCCTCCAGGCCCTGCCGCGTTGGTTTGAAGATGGTCTACACGAAGATCACGTCACGAACCTCGTCATGGGTGTACCTGAAAGTCAGAAATCAACGTTGCGCGACATGTCCGTTGCTACAGGAATGACTATCGGGACGCTCCATCACAAGCTCCGCGACGGCACGATTGAGCGCGATTCATGCGAATTCCGCCGGCGAAGCCGTTTATCATGAAACCCCGTTTTGCCTGAAACGTTCAAGTTCGACAGCATGTGGGATGTTGTTCATCTGGACGAGAAATGGTTCAATGCGGACAAGGATCGACGCAAGGTTTAATATGCCAGGCGACGCGCTTCCAGTGATGGAACTCCGCAACGTTGTGCACCAGCTGCACTGGAGCGCCAAGCTAACGCTGCTGCGGCTCTGTGCAACACTGACTCGAGTCGTGCAATGTAAACTGGTGTCGGCTATTCATCCCATTTGAATTTGGTTGGCTTGTAGCGAAAGCGGGTACGACGGTGGAAGGACTGAGTGGCATTTTCGGCCGCATCCTCTTTGAACCGACAACGTGTTTCACGGCGCTATCGGTACGGCAATCTTGAGCGCCGACATTGTTTCGACGCACAGCTTGATCGTCTGCCTGTAGGCGCAAGCCAAGGTGGTGCAGCTCTTGCTCACGCATTCGACTCAAGTACTGGAACCGATATCACGCGAGGTTGTGGCTCGGCGGCAGGTAAAAAACTCCATTGTCCGTGTACAAGTGTGCATGGGTTGATGATGCGGGGGTGCATGCGCTCCAGGCATTAACGAGAAAGCTGCGAGCGATTCAAGCGATTTCACATGACTTGCGCGAGCCGCTCGTTCCGATTACCACGCACGCGGCGTTGTGGGCGTCGCTCCAGCGATCGTACCCTGCCGTGACCTCACCCGACCACTTGCGCGGCGGAGGCGTTCTCGCTGCCGCATGCCTCGTCTACTTTGCCGATGAACACGCAGAGCTCGCGACGCAGCTGATTGCACAACGAGTGCTGGGCCATCGAAAGCAGTACCCGCTTGTGAATGGCCAGACAATTGGGCGACGCGCTGGCAATAGCAAGAAATTCATCACTAAGGTCATGTTCCTTGCGGCGGTCGCGCGTCCTCGGCACGACTACGAGCGAGGGTTCAGTTTCGAGGGGAAGATCGGGATGTGGCACTTCGTCAGGTACTTGCCTGCTCTTCGAAACTCCCGCAACCGCCCAGCTGGCACGCTCGTGGCTACATTGGTGAACGTTGATGCTGCTGTGTACCGTGAATTCGTGATGACTCGAATCGTACCAGCTGTCAGGGCTCGATTCTCAAGCGCCAACAAGCGCGTGGTCCACCGGCACGACAACGCCACGCCACACGGTGCCATCACCAACGAGGCCTTGGTGAGCGTCTCCCCTGATGAGTAGACGTTTGTCGAGCGGCTCCAACCACCAAACAGCCCGGACATGAACGCCCTTGATCTTGGCTTTTTTGCATTGATTCAGTCGCTACAATACTATACATAGTGGTGAGTCGCTCAATCGATGACGTAATTCGCTCGACCTTGGCGGCCTTTCAGACGATCTCTTCGGACAAGCTCGAGTGCGTGTGTCTAACTCTTCAGGCAGTCATGCGCTTGGTGATTGAACACAATGTTGGAAATCAGTTTCGTTTACTTCATTTGAAGGAGGATGTTCTGCAACGTGCCGGGACCGTCATAGTCAACGTCACCTGCCCAGCATCCTTGTTGGCCCAGTGATTTTTTAACCAATAAAATACACTCATTTCAATTTGAGCCAATACTAGAGATATGTCGCAAGTAATGTGGAAAAAGTGTGTTTTTCAAATGTCGCCAGAATTATGGAACGGAGGAAGTATGTGGAACATACAATATCTGTGCCACCCGAGTGGAAATTCGTCCTTCACTGCATTGAATAGGCCTAGAACTTCGTGAATCAAACTCTTGCGTCTCTGTTATTACCTTTATCTCTGTCTGATATGAAAAAGAATTCAGGTGGAATGTTCAAGAACGAGTGCTTCAGTTGCTGCAAGATCCAAGTCCAATTTTCTTCACTTTTGACCGGTACGATGGCGAGGGCAACAAGCAAGTTACAATTTGCGCCGTCCTTCATACTAGCAGCCAAAACGACGCCAGATTTATTGTAGATGACCTTCAAGTGTGCTCCGTCAAGAGACATTAGGGGCTTCGCCTCTTGCGGAAAGTTTGGAAAACACCCTGAAACGAGGACACATCGCCTGAATGTTCCAACTTGGTAAGTGTCAAAGCACGAGTGCGTTCCTATAGAAATGTTACACAACCTGCGTGTACGTTACGCAACTTGTGTAAACGCGCGCCTACCGTGGTTATCTTCAGCAGTCGTATGCAGTAGTCATTCAGTTTTCGATATCCATCCGCGATTGTACCACGCACTCGTTCCATTGCAAGCTTCTTCACAATGCTTGTAAAAGACGACTTCATCTCGTTACCACACTTCAGCAAAACCGCGGTGCGGACACTACCGCAAGTGACCAATGGGGGCTTCTCTTGGTGGAGCTGGCTGCTCGTACACGAATTCAGCAACTGTTCATGCCGCTTCCTCTCTCGAGAGGGTTCGATGTCTCTTCACAATTCGAGCGTCTTGAGAAAGTACATGCATGGTCCATCTCGTTCCACGTCAAAATCTTATTCTCAGTATCATCCGCTTCGGAAGCAAAACCCATCATTACTTCGCGCTCTTCTTGAGTTGGAACATGCTCTGGTCGTCGTCATGTTTGGTAAAAGAGAGTGTGAATGCTCCAGAGTTGTCCGTGTGATAAGCACCTAATCAGACTTGCCAGTATATTACTCTTGAATTCAAGTGCGTACCTCGTTCGACTTTCGTTTGAATGCTCGTACGTCAAATGGACAGAAATCAACGGTTTTACATGTCCAATGACGGTAGTTAGCGTTTCCTTGAACGACATCTTCGAAACCAACCTTGAGGACAAGTATTTTTGTACGGGTTGCGCATTGCTCCAAGGTCTCGAACGCAGTGTCGTTGTTTTGGACGCCCAGTTACACGGCTACTTCCATGTATCAACTTGGACATGATGTATTGTCGCTTTCGTGCATGCTTGTGCCTGCGTTCAATGCCTGCACCTTTCGCTTTAAGACCTAGCTGATGTCCATGCCTGCTGTCGAGTGAAACTAAGTCCGTAGCTCAGAAAATGCCAATCAAAATGCGTTCACCAATCCAAAGTAATTAACATGTGTCGCCTTGATTTGTCCGTCATTGTGTTAGAAATACATTCGACAAGTGTTACAGGTAATACTCAATGCGCACAAAACCTGTTACACAAGCATTGTGTGATTCGATTTTATCCTAGAGGGTCAAGTTACACGCAAACTTGTGTTACGAAGAATGATCAGGCTACAAACACGTTGTGTAACAGAAAAGGATGTAGTTACACATCGATTGTGTGATGAATTTTCTGTGACATGACAGTCACACAGGAACCGTGTAATATGCCATTCCTTGCTAAACATATTTCCTAAGCGCAAGGTTTAGCTCAGGATTTCGTCGTCGCGTGTGAATTTTGGGTGTCTTTAAGGTTTCGAGATTGGTGTACAAACCTCGACAATGACAAGCACAACATTTCAAGAACAGTGAAGGATGGAGAAACCACCTTTTCGTTCCCATGGGCAGCAGCAGGCGAGGTGGTGGCAATGTTTATGACAGAGAAGCGATTAGCGGGATCATGCATCGGCAATTGAAACGACCTTCACATGCAGCACCACAGATGCCCCGCTACTACAAACTAAGCACGGTGGCCACAGTACTCGCCTTACAAAGCTCGCATCACGTTCTACATAGGTTCCAATGGAGTGACGACATTCCAGAACGAGGTATGTAATAGCGGCAGGTTCGTTCGCGGTACTCATGGTAAACAGATACTACAATACACACACATCCCATGCCTCTGCGAAACCAATAGGAGGCGTTCCAAGCTCAGTTCACGAAAATGTGCGATGGACAAACTACATGGCACGTAAAGTACTCTGTGTCACTGCTTGGTTGATGGCGGATGATGTTGATGCTGTCAGTAAATGCCTTGCAAAGTAATGTCAACGACGTAAAGATGACGCTCCTGCGAGTGGAACAACTGCTGCGCGTTCGATCAGTCCAAGTAGAAACGTCTCGTGTAACACCACCAACTCCATCGTATAGTCAAAGTCTGCACGTTGCGAAGCCAAGAACGACGTCGCAGTACACGCGTCCTGTGTGACACCACCAGCTTCATCGACGACTCACAGTCAGTGTGACGACGAAAACAAGAACGATTTAATTGGCAGCACTTTTGTGCACGTCCCCAAGAACGAATATCTTATTGATACTCGCAAGGCGGATGCAAGTGACTTGGTGAGGTGCGCTTGCCATGGTATGCTCATGAAAATTTCTTAAGGATGGCTCAATGTCGGTGTGTGCGAAAACAAATGCATGAATCGGTTGTGCGGCGTGGAATGTTTTGAGCGACAAAATTGTCAAGTGGGGCCAGCATGTGGAAATCGAGCTTTGCAAACACTAGTAGAGCCAAAATTGGACGCTTTTCAAACACCAGATCGAGGAATGGGACTACGTATTGTGGACGGCATTCGACGCGATACTGTCGTTGTGGAATACGTCGGTGAAGTCATCAGCCGCAAGATGAAGTCGCTAACAGCATCGCCATTAGGCGATCTTTTTCATGGCCTGAGCCCTTGACCCACACAGTCTTCGTTCCCGTGGCATTAATCGTCTACTTCGGTATATACTCGTAGTTCACACCGGTTTGATCAGCATTGTAGATGAGCTCAATGCCATTGGTATCAACAATGCGCCGGATTTTGTCCGCCAACTGAGTTAGCATTGCTTCGCCCTCTTCGGCGCTGGACTGACCGGCGCGGGGTTTTCGAACGCATGGATAGGCTCCACCGGTTCAAGAACGATTTCACCCAGGTCGAACCAGCACGAAATTGGCTCTCGGTAAGACCCAAGTCATTTGCAACCTCACGAGCACTTGTTTGTAGAAGCATATTGCTGACTGGGATCCCTTCGCTCCTCAGCTCGTTGACCCACGCCACAAGTCCTTCTTCGGTGGCAGTGTCCAATGTTGTCGATGTTCCAAGAGTTCGGACGGATTTCATGAATATTAGGTTTGGTTTGTTTGCAGCAGCTTCAATCAACGACCGCTTTTGCTCCCAACGACAAATTAGCTTCCATGCAGTCTTACGCGGTGCACCCGAAATTCCAGGAAAGTAGGTGTCCAATGCGTAGTCAATTGAGTTGTCTCTCGCAGCGTTCATAATATAGAGCTTGTGTGACATGGTGAACGTGGCTGTTTTGTACAATGGTGTCGTTCGAGCTGTGTTCTTGATAGACGGGCGTCCTGTTTCTTTGCGATGACCGCTGGGCGCCATGGTTTAAAATCCCGCGCAAAGCACCTCAAAATATTCTTTCAACTCGATATTTATTTAATTTTAAGGTTGCTACTCCTTGCTGAGGTTCTTGTGAAATTGCATGAAAAATACATATTATTGAGGTTTCCAAAGTTCCCACTTAACAAAATAACTACGGTACCACAATGAAGTTCAGGTTTGACTTCCACGGCGTCCAACGCCTCGTTCTTGCGTTGCGCATCCCCGACATTGTAATCATTGCAGCACGTGATAGGTGCCTGACGGCCGAAGTTCTTTGCATGTTTAAAAGCAAGATCATTATTGACCTGTGTGAGGAGGCTTAGATCGTCGGGATCACTCCATCATGTCCGTGCTGAGGAGTCGGTTTCTGGTTGCACCTCATCGGACATGATGGCTGTTAAGGGTGACTCGAAGTGAATTGTTATGCGCATGCAGCGAACAAAGTACAGGTTGTAAAATCGTGCGATTTTGGCATCAGCTGCAACAATTTGCTACAAGTTGGTTCCAAACTAATCGACAGGATAGAATACAGATAGAACAGAACCAGCGTTTGCGAAATCTGTCTATAGTTGCGCTTGTTCACAAAAAAATGGCATCGGATGGCAATGGGTTGAGGTGTAAGTTCCGGTCCATCACCGTCAACGTGTCCTTTGCATTGACATTGAGCATTGAGCACGAACAACTTCTTGTCAGGACGAACGTAGAATCGAGACAAAAACCAGGCATTTGGGTCTTGAACTTGTGCAAAAACAAAAGTGTTCTTGGTCGTCAAGCAACGATAACCGAAAACTTCGCAGGAGCGACCCCACAACTCGTGAGGCAGTGTCTTGCGCGGTGGAAACTTGATACACTCACGAAACAAGTCTTTCAATGCATCAAGAAGCGATGATGTTCCAGTGGCCAACCGTCGAGCGACAAAAGGGCTGTTGTCATACCACAATTTGTCATCGAACTTCACAACACTTCGGCCGAGCTTCTTCATGGTTCGCAGAATTCGTGTTGACGCTGCTTCGTCCGCCAGGTTCCCTCCGTCGTCGAGGAAGGGGTGTCGATTGCTTTCCTCACAGAAATCCCATGCAACGAACAAGCAGTGGTCGTTTGAAGCTGAAATTCCGATCTCGACGCTAAAGCTTGCGAGAATCACGTCGAAGTTACCTTCCGTGTGTGTAACTTGTGTCACGACCGACTTGCTAACCTCGACTTTGTCGACAAAATCCGACACATCCAGTTCAATGTCGTCGTTGTCGTGTTTGGGCCGTTTTGTTGCGACATCGTCTTCGTCGTTTTCAACTGTCCGACGTTAAGAAACATCCAGGAGGCGCATGTAAACAACAATCGGAGCTACCATGGTGATATTCGAACCAAGCAGCATCAGTCTTGACATTTAATAGTCAAAAGTCAGCTCCTCCAACACTGCAATGTCGAATTTGATCTTGAGAACAAGTCGCAATTCACTTCCAACGTCCACCTTGATCGGTGCACAATTTGGTTCGCACGAGTGATTGACAAATCGTGACAAATTTCCTCGTCGTCTCGCGTCAATGAAACGATTGTTGCTGATTTCCACCATATAGTGCGAATTGTCGCTGGTGCGATGATGTGACCACTCCGATTCGAATGGAGTACAATACCCACTGTTCTTGGTGCTGAAGATGGCTGCCTCCAAAGTCAAAACTGTCGTTCAAGACAACCTTAAGAACCGCAACGGCTTTGGTGTCCATGTTTGGGAAGACAACGTAGAGCTCCATGAACACCACCCGTCGCGCATATTCGACAACTTGGTGGAATGGACATATTTCCTTGCAATTCTTGACGTACCATTTCGTCAATTGACGTGGAGGCAGTTGCAAGCCCTTGCTTCTCCTATGGAACGACTTTAGTGCTCACTTTACTGAATACTTCAAGTATTGACCTTGGCCAATGAGCTCAACGTCATTCTGGAGAAGATCCAACCGAAGTTTACATGGATATGCCAACCTGCAGATGTTGCCCGGATGAAACCGATCTAGTCAGCACTTCGTCATCGATGGATTGAATACTTGCGTACCATACTTCAAAGCCATACTTCTGGACCCTTTAAGCTGTCCCCACCCAACCGCTTCGACTTGGTTGAGTGGGTCAATACAGCTTGGGAAAACCTACCACAGCGTATAATCATTAGTGGTTTTCGAAGGTACAAGATCATCGACGGGCCTGTAGATGCGGATGGCGGCAACGAGTGTGAACTTGATGCGGAATGCGCCGCTGCCTTGGACGCTGTACAGCAAAGGGGGGCCATGGAGCTGACCGAAATGCGACCTGACTTTGATGTTGAGAACGACCTAGAAGTCGTACGAGATTATTGAATAGAGCGAAAACAAGGCTGAATCTTACCTTATGTTGATTGAACAGTGCCCATCTATGAGTGCCATTTGTTCAGGGACTCATCGGAATACCAAGGCCAAGGTTTACTGCCGGTATCCGGCCCAGCAAAACCAATGGGCGAGGCCCGAGGGCGGTCCCAAAGGCTACTGGGAGCGCGGGCCATTGACTGTAACACCCCCTGTTGACCGACTTGCGTACAGTAATGCCAATTCACACTCATACATGAGCAGCAGCCATTATCCGGATCATATCCGGATGGTTTCCATGGGTCAAATCGGAAAGTGAGAAATGATTCCAACACGAATACAATAAACGGCAGATTTTAAGGGACAACTTGTGCTTCGAATTTCTGATCACAGCCAAAATTCATTGGTCGAAGTACTTCGAAGTTCGCTGAAATTTCCAGCCAACCAGTCAACAGTTAGCCAATTTCTCGGATTTCAACAAGTCCAGTATTTTAAATTAGCTGGATTGATGGACAACTATCAATGATAAGCGTTTGACGCGATAGCGCAGTGGTGAAACTCGTTGTGTGTCTTGAGTGAGCCCCGGTTCGAGTCCTGGGCGCCCGCTTCGATCCGTCGAATGTACGTGGCATGCTCACGCTGCAGCCACGACTGCGTCCTTCTCGCCATGACGTGCCTCCTGGTCTAGATTGCGTCCGAGTTTGCCTGGAAAGGCAAGGTCCTGACTGGAGAGATCAAGGCGGCGGTGAGCCCAGGCGCCATCGACAAAGTCCGCCACACGCTGTCGTCCAAGCTCAACGATGGTGCGCGTTGGTCGATCCTATCACAATGAAACCTTCATCGCACGACGGCGGCGCTAGATGCCACGAGCTTGTCGCTGATGGAGATCGCCACTCGGCGCTACAAGACGGTCCTTTGCAAACCGTTGGCGCACCACACTCGTCCAGAGGTGGCGCTGTCCAAGCGAGCCCGACTCCAGACGTTCCTCGAGCAAGTGCTCCAACTCCTGACGATGTTCGAAGTTAAAACGAAGCAAATTATGGTGCCGACGCACCAACTCGTCCACGACATTCTTTCGACCACGACGTTGGTGCCTTTCGTTTGCGACATCGCGCTGGACTCGGTCGAAGTCGTCGAAGTGTCCATTCCCGGCAACCGGTGGGCCATCACGCACGTCATTGCCGCCAACGTCGTCCAAGTCGGCGCATTCCGCCACCACGTCCGGCTTCGCAACACTCGCACCGGCCACGTCGCGGCGATCCAGCGCTTGCTGCACCAGTCTTCCCCCAGTCTAGTCCACCACGCTAATCAAGTGGACATGTCGATGGCTCGTTCTCGAACGTCCAGTGGCATGCGGGCGAGCCCATGTTCAGCTTGAACCAAGGGCAAGAAGTGCAGTCGACCCAGGAACTGTCGGCCAGCCATCAGACCCACCTGTCGGGTCAGGTGCATGCGCTGAAGCGGGGTCCCGCCAAGGGGACAGACAAGATGGAATGATGTAAAATTATTTTGGAATAGCTTTGGCAAAACTACGGTGAATTTCTTCCGGCGTAATACGTGCCCACGCCTTAATGGCACGATGAATCATAGCTAGACGCTTCTTTTGCGCCGGAACAGTCATAAGGTCTACGTCCTCCTCACTATCACTGCCTTCTATAAGCTCCTCCTCTAGCCACAAATTGCGCATATGGCGCTTGAAAGGGGCCATAATCCCTACATCCAAAGGCTGTACGCGGCTTGTCGCATTTGGTGGGATTGCCGCAACAATACACCCAGCCTCCTCAGTCGCAATCTTAATGCCTCGCGTGCTCACGTGAGGTTCGAAATTGTCCAGCAACAAAACGGATGGTTCACGGACCTGAGGCTTCAGCAGACGACGCAAGTACATGGACCAGACA